TGAGCATGGAATAAAAAAATAGACAAGACAATTTTTAAAAGCCCAGTTTAGGAAGTCCCACCTTCTAATTACCACAACTTTTTGAAAGCTGTGTGGACAATCAAATGATGCATAAAGATGAAAAGAGGTAACCCCAAGAATGCTGTGAAAGAAATGAGATATAAATGTCGAAAAGACTAATTATGCCGTCAGATGAAGGGTTGCTCTGATCTCCCTTCCTTTTCCTAATTTCTTTTTTTCTCCTTATAAATTCATTTTGTTTTTTTTCTTTGTTTTTTGTTTTACTTTGTGGTTTGCTTAAAAATCTAAAAGACTTTTTGCAGATTTCCAAAGATTTCATACTTATCCCTCTTTGTGACATCACTGCGGGTCTTCTCCACATGTTTTTTTGCGAATAATTGATCAATGCAGTAAGATGCTTATTTAAATTTTTTATTTAAAATTAGCTTTTTAGTAATACAGAAACTTTTCAAAAATTTCAGGTATTGCAACACAGAAAAAGAATGTGGTTTATGAAGACATGCACATCCAGAAGGGTACTCTTACTCTTTCCCCATTTGCAGTTTATATTGCACGCCGCAAGCATTACAGCATGCCAATTTTTATCAGCATGTCAATTAATGGATCTACACATAAGATAGATCCAGGTTATGGAAGTAACTTATAATCATTAGGAAGGCAGATTCTTTCAGAAAAACTCAGCAAAACTGAAAATTGCATGAATACTTTTTTCCGTAATACTTTACTCATCCACTTTTTTCATTTTCTTTTAAGTACTTGTCATAGTGACTGTCTTCTTGAGTCTTCAGAAGTCAGCTATAACTTCGCCTAAGGAAGCTTCAAAATTAAATTAAGAAAAACTAACCTGAAGAGTAAGAAAAGATACTGCATGATTTTTCCGGAAGGGAGATGAGCGCCTTTTCGTTTAACATCCGACTAACGAAAATGCTGTAGACTTTATACAGGTTTTTCCACTCATTTATGCTTATTGAATGTCTTAGTTCTTTTTCCGACTTAAGTATTTAAATTACCCTGAAATTAGCACAGATATGAATTAACAACAGATTCTTCTATCAACACATTATTCGACTAACGTATATTTATGCAAATAAGTGAACGTCATAAAGTCGGTTAGGATATCCTAAAAGGTAAGCTGACAAGCTGATAACAAAAAGCTTTTCCTTTCATAGCTTTCCCTGCATCATTATTTAATTGAATTAGGGCCAGAAGTTCAGTAATTGAGTAAATTTGCCCTGAGAAACATGTTCATTACTTTTTAGAAATGAAGGAAAAGCTTCTAACCGTTTCCTTAGTATTCAACTATTTGTAATTTGCAATTGCTCAGAGTAGCAATGATATTGAAATTAAATGAATGATTGGGAAACTAACGCTACCATATTATAAGGAAATGTCGACGGAACTTTTAACTTGACCTGATTGAAACTGGAAATAGTTAAGTTCACAAGCAGAGAAAGATATCTCCATGCTTTTTTTCTTCTAACTGCTTCTGACGCAAACGAAAATGCCGTATGTATGTGAAGACGTGTAGAATGTACGTGTAGAATGCATTTTTATGTGCTGATAGCATGAAAAAGAAATTTCAGCCATGGGTTTAAGATTTTTAAAGAGGTGGCCAACCTTGGATCGCTCATCGCAATTAATCAAAAAAGAAGACGGTAAAAGAGCGAAACTATCCAGTTTGCAGCGCTCTCGTCCGATCTTCCCGTGTGATTTCCATTTCATTTTATGTCAAAAGTGCGAATTTGAGAAGTTTTTCTTTTGGTAGACGCTGACATTGTCAGTTACACTGAATTGTCGAATCTTGCAAATAATTACCATTCTATAATTCCCATCCAAACCGACCAATCAACTAATCAACCAACTATTCGCTATCATTCACGCTTATCTCGTTGTTTATTTTAATGAAATAATTAACAAACTGTGTAAATTTCCTATTTGTTCATCTCAATCGAATTTTTGATGATAACGGGAATAAACAGTTGTAGTATAATCACTTTGCAATACTTTTGTTTTCAGTATTCATTCAATAGAGAGCGACTTATATGTTCTATCCCACTGGTAATTTCATGTTTTTTCAATTCCCATGTCTATCTACAAAGTTATGCTATCGGTTTCTAGCCTAGTTAGATTTTGATGAAATTGCAATCTCAATCAATAAATCACTTAATCCGTCCTATTATTTCTAAATATACATTGGTATCCTTCACTCTGGTTATCACTTTTGCAAAGTAAATTTTATGTACTCTGGCAGTTTTTACTCAAGATTTTTTTCAATCTTCCTATTAATTCATATATGTTTCCTTTGTGTTCTTTGTTTCTGAAATACTGTTGTTTTTTATCGTAATGCACTGAAGTGGAAGAATTGCGATCTTTATTTAATGATATTCAAACAGCTGGTAGAAAATTAATTTTATAAATCTCAAAGCATTTAAAATACTTGCAATATCGTAGAAATTTGTTTAATTATAGAGCGGAAGTATGTAAATTGTTTAAACAAGGCTTTTTAGAGGAAAGTTTTTTAAAAAAATGTACAACTTCAAGCAAAACAAAAAACGAATTTTGCCATCATTTCGAAATTATAAATAATATTTATTCCATAGGTTCATTTTATTAAACGAAATTGCTGTTTTAAGAGCAAGAGTCATTTTATCAAAGTATAGTAAATTAAAACCTTTCTTCTTTAGCTATGCTTCATTTATTTATTCAAATTGAAATTTCTGATAATGAAAACTCCTGCATTTTGACATATATATGAAATAAGTTTCCTTAAAATTTTCTATTTGCAAACATTTTAATAATTTCATTTCACCTTAATTACTTCTTTATTAATTTCACATATTATTTTTCTTTTTTTTTTCATTATCTATAGATATTAATAACTTCACCTTACAAACAACTTAATTTCAAAATCATTCTTTTCAATTTGTAATTTGCTTTTCTTTAACCAAGCCAATTAATATTTCGTGGCTCTTTAAACTTTAATATTGATTGATATCTATCTGACCACTATTTTCAACAACTGAATTAAATTAGACAGAATTATAAGAACAACTGCGGTCATTAGACTAAGACAACTTTTCCGAGTAATGAAAAATAATTGATCCTAAAGAATCGTAACGGAAAACAAATTCAAAAAAGGCTGGATTTTTAATTATTCTTTTATTTAATACGTGTGGCAATCAAAAAAAAAAAAAAAAAAAACATAATTTTTGGCAAGTTTGCATTAATTGAAGTGGGAAGCAACTAATAAATAGTTTAGTAACAGGATTACCAGTAAGAATTAAGTAATATTTGAAATTTCTGTTATTTGGTGATAATTAACCTATGCAATGATACGTTATGGATTAAAAACCGGAAATAAAAAGAAAGTATGGTGTAAAACGAGTAACAGTAAAAGAAAAAAATAAAAAAATAGATCTTTGTTCTTTGCATCTAATCTTTTGTATGATAATTGCTTTTTTTAAATAAATGAACAGTAATTTACTTTTGATGAGGAATTAATGCGCAATTGATATGTGAAGGTTTCTTGAAAACTTTAGCCAATAATTTCGTGGTCATACGATACTGACCAGTGGTTTTCCGTGATACTACTAATCGAATTTATGATGAAATTAGTGATTATATAATTTTGAAAAGAGAAGCCGAATTTCAGGATTTTTCTGAAAAATCAGAGTAAAATTAAATGAACACTGTCAAAGGTAAACAAAGTACTGTTAGGAAAGTTAGTGTCATCAACAGAACTTATGACATTTGGTAGCTATTTTATTTTTTGCTTATAGCTTTTTATTATTGTTCTGCGACGACAAATTGATAATTATCTTTTTATCCTTATGCACTTTTCTTCCATATTCTTTCTTTCTGTCACAGTTTATCATTGCAACTGAAAGAGAAAAGGGTTTTCGAGAAATTTTTTCACAAAAGACAATTTTACTTCCATTTTCATATTTTTATTCTCGTTCTTTTTTAGTGTTAAAAAAACGCCATGCGCGCTTATCATCTAATAATGATCAATGAATAAAACTTCATTATTTCTCAGTATTTATGTCACCGAAATAAAGCAGTTTTTCATGAAAAACATAATGGTTTAAATACTGTGCTTAACAAATTTCTTGCTTCACTTTTTGCACAGCGGTATTTTTAACTTCTTTTAATAGATTTATGGTTGCTATATTTTCATCACAGATGAAATATGTTTTAAGTTTGTCTAACAATTTTCCGTTTTGGTTAAAGGCCGTTAGAAGTGTTATTGTGAAAACGGGACCGCTTAATATTTCCTGTTCTCCTTTCTGCTACAACCGTATGACATCATTCATCTTATATCTCATTCAACCTTCCAAATAATCCTCATATGAAAGATGAAAACTTGAAGGATTCTAAGTATTTACAATTCAAGAAATAGCTAGATTTTATGATTATTCTTATTTAATGGACTTATTGCTTAAATGTACATTTTTATTTAAATGCACCAATTCTTTTTTGCAAAACATAGACTGTGAGTTCTATGAAAGTGAAATGAGACTTCGAACAAGACAATTGCTGCAATGGTTATTGATTATTATGATTGAAGTTGTTGTTTGTAAATTCACTTTTTGATTCATATTTTTCGTATTTTAGACCAGTAATTTATTTCCTAACTATTTTTTGCTATATTTTAATAACAATTTCCATCTCTTATATTTGTTGCAAATGATTAGATTAAGTAAAACTTAGTAATTGTTCTTGATGTCATAATTTTTATCTTTTTCGAAAGTTTCAACTTTAGAATCGCTCTTGCATTTGATTCCAATTTTCCGATGCAAGTGTAAAAAACTATGCTATTTGGTTTATTTCATTTTAGAACATTGAATTAAGTGATTCAAATCTCGATTTTTAATTGCTATCTAGATTTTTTCTAGAAAACGTTTGCATTCGCTCTAAATCTATTTAAACTTCTAATTGGTATGGAATCTTAATATTGAGGTTTAGGAAGCTCTTTTCTGATGGCACAAATAAGAAAGATGCAAAATGTAACTTCGTGGAAGCAACACTGCAGATCACTAGCACCTCATTCACTTGTAGCACTTTTTATTTTATTCATTACAACAGCTTCGAAAGTGGAAGGTCAAATCTATCGAATACGTAAGCTTTATTAATGATTCATTGATGTGTTTGTATGCAGGTAGAATCAGTGAGTATATCCACTGATTCCCTTTAAATATTAATTTCGAATGTATGAAAATTTTTAATTTTCACAAAATTTAATTTGAGTTGAATTTTGGTGGCTATTCCATCAGATGCTGCTTGTTTAAACAAATTTATAAAACATATTTGGGTCGCACTGTAAAATACAATTGCAGGATTTCTGAATCACACGTGTAAAGATATCAGTGGTCCCACGTACGTTACATAGAAATACATAAAACGACATATTCACTTTTTCCTTTTTTCTCTTTATCTAGCTTGTCACTGAATATTAAATCCGTGGTTCCAAATGGTCACCTCGATAAATTTCTGATTCGAACGAGAATTTCCTATTTCCTTTGCATATTTTCCTGAATAACGAAATCCAACTATTGAAATGAACTTCTGCAGAATAATCCATAAAATTTTTGCAAAAAATGACAGCACTGACTTATCAGTAAGCTTTTATTTGAAAATCACTCAGAATTTTTTGGCAAATTTCAATTCTTGGATAATATCAATGGAAATTTTCCTATCAACCGTATTTTGGCTTGAAAATAATTGCCATATTTTGCCTTTAAAAGACTTATACGTTTAATAAACTGAAACGACATAGTAGAAATCACTTAGCTTTCGTTTTTGTCTTTCCAACCTTTTCAATTTAGAGTTCATGACCTCGCAATGAACTGATAGAAAAACTTTTTCTCTTCTCTTTTCTGCTCTCTCATCTGTTACTTTTTTTAAGTCCAAATCGACCATTTGGAAAGTCATAAAAAGCAACAGTACTCGTAAACATTATTCATTTCGTGACATTACTCGCTGCTTTTTGGACCAAGACTTGGATCTTACTTTTGAATTTTATTACTTGGACTTTTTTATTTTGGACGTCATTATTCGATTTCCTACCCAAAACTAAAGAAAGCAGTTAATATGAGGAATAATTAAATAACGTATAAGGCTTTGTTTCTCCTTCTCTCTCTCTCACTCTCTCTTTTGTTTTTTTCCAGTCTTAAGATGCAGTCAAAGTTAAGGAAAAGTGGGACTAAAAGAAAGCAGTTTGTAATACTAAGAATATTGTAATTGCTTACCATTTTTTTAAATAATTCAAATTACAGAAAATAAGCTGCTCGACGAGACACAGTTTAGTAATCCGAAATCATTTGATTATAATTTCGAAGACGATTTCAAAAAGTTGGCCGATAGAAATGACGTATACGATGAATTAGTACCTTATCTGCCAACATTTATTCTACATAAAAACGGGAAAAATGCTGGACGAACAAGCGTATGTTTCTCACAATATATGATACCAATTACCTGAGTGAATTGGCGGAATTATTTAATTAATTATTTATTAACGACATGGTAAATCGATACAGTAATGAATGGATTAGTAAAGCTAATAAACAAATAGCTTTCAGGTACCAATTATTACTCGTAGAATACCAGGTTGGTCAACACCTCCACCAAAACAAAAATATATTGAACCTTACAAGCCATTTTCTGCTAAATCTTCCGGTGGTTTCCAACGATCTCGCCTGCAAATGCCTACGACACTGATTGTTAGGCCAGTCAGCCAAAGGTAACTACCTTTTTTGAAATTGTCCAAAAATTTAAATGTTTTATAAAATTTGTGATGAAAATTTAACGTTTTGGATAAAAACTTTACAATATGATTAAAAAATTCATAAAGTTATCATCATTTGATAACAGAAAAAAAAGATAAACTGGATTAGTCAATTAGTCTTGTTTATTTTTATTGTGCTTTACATTATTTATGTTTCATTCAGCTTTTTTTGCATAATTGAAAATGGGATAAAATAATTATCACGCATTGCTGACAATTGTTTATCCAATATTTTGCCCGAATAATTTGGCATACTTTAAATGTTGTTGCGCGGTACTTTAAATTTTGGTACTTAAAACTACCACCGTATAACGAAAACTATGAGTAATCACAGATAGTCATAGTCATAATGATAATAACAACAATCATTTCCTAATCTGTGGAGCAATATGCGATGCGCTAGGTGAGTTAGCAATGAACTTGGAGACTTGTATTTTATAAGTTACTAGCTTTTCTACATGACAGTGCTAATGTACTACTTCTGCTGTAACGTCCTCATTTACGTCTTTTCACCACGAATACTATTTATCTATTATTCACTCAGTAGTTAGAAGCAAATATTTAAGAATCTTAAACTATAAAATAACACTGCATCCTGACTTTGTTACAAAACAAAAGTTTCAGTTTAATTTTCTGGTTTAATTTAAGTGAATAATTGATATTTATATGCGAAATTTAATTGAACTTATAAATTTTAGTGAAATATTTAGCCCGACCAGTTACTGAAATTATAGATATTATGTTTGTAGATGGCATGACGTAAACAACGTAAATAAGGCTTAAATAATTTCAGGTTGACGACTCGTCGAGGTACCACATGGACGACAACAACACGAACCACTACTACTACCATTAGATCTCGAGCTTTCTTGCAACAGCAACAACATGAGCAACGGCAACGACAGCAACAACGACAGCTGAATATTGGGTAGTCATCTCGGCTTTTGCTGACGATTATTAGGCCTACAATTATCAATTAGCAGTCATTATCAATTAATATTGTTGATTAATTAGCATTACCAACCAATTAGTTAGCATTGTCAATAATATTGTTGAGAATAGCAAGAGAGAGATGAGCCGAGGCTAGCAAATACATTCATTTCATAATCTGAATTAACCGTAACAACAACAATAACAATAAACAGTGACATTATTTTAGAAAAATGAGCCAATTTTTGCCTTATTGACTTATTCCTGAAAAAATGTGTTATTTTGTCAGTAATGTAATGTGAATAGTAAGTGAAAGGTACAACTAAGGTTTAGTCAAATCATCTTTTGGCATTTGACTTCCTACTTTTGTTGTAAAATTGAAATTTCCACGTAGTATTTTTTTCATTTCTTTTCTTTTTAATAACTACATTGCGCTATAAATTTACTCGGTTTCAATATTAATAATAACAAAGTTTTTGGACTACAAGTAATAATTAGTAATAATTGATAATAATAGTAATGATAATAAGTGATAATAAAGATAATGATGATAATAATAATAGTGATAATGATGATAATAATAGTGATAATAATAATAGTGATAATAATGATAATAATAGTGATAATAAAAAATGTGATAATAATGGCAATAATAATATTTTCGATGTAAAAAAAAGTTTGTTGAATATAAGAGATGCATAACTTGAAAAATGAAATAAATTTCCACATATTGTTAATCCAATATAGAAACGGCAGCATGAAAGATTAATAGGAATTCCATCGTATCATGAAAGTACGGTAAAAACGAGCAAAATGATAACTAAATAGGACAAGAGATTGTATATCGGTTTTTAAATTTTTTTTATTGTAGTTCTAACCGCTTAAAACTATTCGAAACTTTTGGCCTCTAAATGCATAGTGGATAAGTTTTTTCAACAGCATAACAAAAAGTGTGATTAAAGAATTGATTAGGATTGTGATAATGAAGTGTGATAACATCCCTGTATTGTTCACTTTTAGAAAACTTCTTAAATATGCTTATTTACTTTTCTTTGCAAGTTTTTGAATACAATTAATTATCCATCATAATCCACTTATAATCATACATTTCTCATTCGTCTTCCTTTTATTTTGGGAAACAAATTATTATCCCTGTTAGAATTTTTAATTTTAATTGCATAATTTTTCAGCTTTTTAAAACTTATTTTGTATGCAAATTATTGTAAATAAAAAATGAAATAAAAATCTAAAATATTTGTATATGTATAGGCTGGACGGTTTTACACGACGTTTATCCAGACCTCATTCACCTTTGGATGGAGCAGTTATAGGATCTAAGCTGGTGAAACAGTTCAACAGTAAAAGAAACATCAACAGTAATACTGTTATTCGATCTATTCAGTCACATGTGTTAGCTAAACCGTTAGTAATACACACCGGCAGTGGCCCATACTTAGGTTTGAACTATTTCAGTTTATTTCATTTTGATTATTGACTATTATAAAAAAGATTAAAGTCTGCTTCGATCTCAAAATAGAAAAGCATTCGTTAATCGATACAACTCATACAAATAATTTATAAACTGTATCTGAGAAAATAATGTGTGGTCTATAAGTGCTGTAACATTTTTTCACTTTGATATAACGCTTGTTGTCAGTTCAGCGATGAAAAATTGTGAAGAATGATTGTATTTTTAGGCCCAACATTCAACTGCAAAGTACTAACACCTAAAAACGATGGTCGACCTTCACCAGTTACCGACAAAACATGTGTTTTGGAACAGCCTGGCATTTCAGCCGATGGCAGATGTCGTTGTACATATGTGGTTAGTTCAATGATTAAAATTAATTTCACATTCATTTAAAAACGGCGGCATGAAAGATTAATAGGAATCCCATCCCATGAATTACCAAAAAAATTTAATTAATTGCAGGTATCGGATCGTGACAGTAATGGTTGCGCATTAGGATTTTTGTTTACTTGCTTACCGAAATAAGTTGAAATAAATCAATCAATTGTGAATAAGCAGGGAAACAAAGGAAGCTATAATGCCAACATGCTGAAAAGATTTAAAAGCAACTAATTAGACATAGAAATAGCACTGATTCACTGATTACGATGCCACTGTCAAAATTTCCTAAGATGGCTAATTTTGGCTTAATTTACACTTAAGTCCTTTTTTACCTAAAAAGTGAGCTGCTTTCAATTACAACTGGTTAAAAAAAAAAGAAAGAAAATTTCTTTACAGTGCTCAATGAAGTCCAACCGTGATGTATTAAATTCTAAAAAAAAATGGAGATTAACACTAAGTCATTATCAATATGACGTTTTTATTAAATATGTGATATCAATATTTTACTTAAAAAAGTCTCTTAAATTTTGTTAACTTTTTTAAGTGGTTTTGTTCTTGGAATTAGCAGTATGTTATGATGTTCCTAATTTTTAATTCATTAAATCATGCTTTCTCGGTAAAAATGAAAACCTAATCTGTAGCTTCCGCAACTGCTTGGAAAATGGAAATTTTCCTGAACAACGGTATTCACTGGACTGAATTTTGTGCCACATGAATGCACAGCATTTCAACCATAAACAAAATTTGAGGATTTTCCAAAATAAACATAACAGGATAAATTAAGGAAATTATTGCGAATCACTGAGCAGATAACATTACACGTAATATTAAATGAAATTTAACTATCTAGAACAAATTTTCATCCTCTTTAAACTTATGCATAATCATGAGAAAATTGCTTTTTAAATAGAAATTGACCTATACAAATCATTAGGAGCTAATTAAAATTATTTAAAACAAAACATTTTGTTTTCGACAAGCATCTGGTCACGTTGACATAAATGCATTTTGTGACTGACCTGTTTGTTTTTGAAGTAAAATATAGGACTTATCGAGTTTTTCGAAGATTTTAAACACTGTTTTAATTTTCAGTTGTTTCCAATAAATAGCGTACAAGCGAGATTGAAATTAATATGTGAAATATCATGCTGTTTATTCAATTTTAAGACATTTTTCTATAGGCAACTTCTGATTATCGAAAGATTTAAAGATGCTTCATTGATTTTTTTTTTATATCCTTCCGATAATACCAATTTTTCATCGCACCTAGAAGTTTGCTTTTGATTATGGAAGTTATTCGATAAAAGTTAAGTAAGTGTTCTCTACGTTTAGCTATTTTGCTATTATGAACTACATCATTGGAAGAGTAATTGGGAGCAATTATTACACATTGTTCCTTAGTTCCTAGTAATTTTAAATTTCGATTTTTTCCTTTCATTTTTCCATTTGTGCTTTTTATTTGTAAAACTCTGCGAAATATTTTAGTATCAGCGTGGAAAAGAGGGTTTACATATTTAGTGTGAGCAAATTTGCAATTGAAATTGAAGTATACTAACTAGTTCGAACCTTATAAACTTTCTAAAATCTGAAATAAGCAGGTGAAAACCAATCCGCCGTTATTTTCTCTATTAGTAGCAACTAGCACCAAATGAAATCCATTTTACTTCTTCAATTACACTAAAACTGGCAGCATTCAGTTATTAAACTCCTCTGAATTTAAAATAACCAATAAATACTAAGGCAATTGTTAATTCCAATTTTTATTTTACAAATAAACACAGACATTAATAGTATAGTTTGTAATACTTACCTTATGACAAATTTTACAAGTAATATTATTATTAAAACTAAGTTATTCTATTAATTTTCCTAGTCATGCAAAAGTGAACTCAGTTGAATCATGAATCGCAAAAAAGCTAATTAATGAAACTCTTCGTTTTCTTGACCATCGATATGTCATTATAAAAGCGGAAATATCGCATTGACTTAATAATTAGACAAGACCTGAGATGGAGATGTCCTAAATAATCTCCCATCCCAATACTTTTTTGCACAGTTTGTTTCTTTAAGAGCATATGACGATAACATTAGAAAGAAATCACTTTGCTGACTACTTTTTAATTAAACTTCAGGATTTAAAGAGCCTTTGAACTAAGGAAGCATTTATGTATAGTGTGAAGCCCTATTAGGAAATAAGGATTAAGACCAAATATCTTAAAAGAACAAAACAAAAATCACTGGAAGCCATCTTTCTGACTGACAAAACCTATGATCCACGGAAAACAGAATAGCATATAACTAATCCTTGCATTCCTGCGTTAGGTTACAACCGGAAAATCGTAAACAGGAAAAGATGAGCAGCAGTTAATTCCTCAAAATAACAAAAAAAAAATGTTGTATTGATAAAGTAAGCTGGGGCTATTTTCCAAATATTTCGAGCTTCATTCCATGCTTAATTTTCACTGACACTAATATGTGAGTAGTTAATTGAAGAAACTTAGAAAGTAATCGTGAATTCAGCTTTTTAAGTGAACTAAAGAGAGTTCCAAAATGAATATGCTGCGAAGGTCTGAAGCGGTTCGGAGAACTGAAAAATCGTTGCTCGTCTGATCTTCAGAAGCAATCATCCTTGTTCCGCAAAAGGAAATATTGAAGTGCATATTTGATCTTTCGGCTCAGACCTTCGTGATGATGGATGAGATTAAGCATAATGATTAAAGCTTTATACCACCTTTTTGCAGAAAAAATATGGAAAAGTAGATTCTTTCCCCACCCCACTGTAAATATATTTTAATTTCAGCTTAGGTCCAATATTTCCAAAATTACACCACTAGTGGAGAAGGATTGGCTATTTGTAGAAGAACTAGTAATTATTTCCCCAAAACTTGTTTTTGTTATCCCTATCCGTTACGAAACTGAATTTTTTACGCCATAAAAAGAAAGCATTTTTAGATTAGGCTGGACAAATTGATAGATGCCTATTCGAAGTAGATTGAAAAGGCCTTTAGCAGCTGATGACTACATTTACGTTACAAAAGTGCAGCAGACTGGTTTAGAAATCTGAATGTGTGTATGTAGAATAAACTAATCAGTGTATTCAGAAACTAACTTTTCGGTAATGAACTCAAAGATTTATTCGTATATCATCAAAGATTACATGTGAAATTTATTGTGTTTACGAAATGCACAACAATTTCTGAACCAACAATAAAATTTGAAGGATAAAAAAAAAACAAAACTAAATAAGCAAGCACAAAAACGATTAACAGAAATTAAAAATGACAGCCTAATAAGGAGTATAGATAATATTTCTAAATAGGGAAAATCGAAATTTAGAAAATGTCACAGTCGAAAAAAAATCGTGGTGAATTGGAAGCAAGTAGATTAAGAATTTCTGTTACTTTTCGGGATTGGATGCTATGATATGGATTACAAGGACTTTTAAGGAGGTGCGCATGGCAATTTGCTGGGCACATGCATGTTAAGTTTGTATAATTGTGTATAATGTTGAATGCGTTCTCCGTTTTGCAATCTTCAATGACCTTCCAGAAAAAAGCAAAGTACCACTAAGACTAATAAAATAAATATTATTTCACTTTAACATACAACAAGGAAAACTAGCAACAATTAATTACATTCACAACGAGAGATCTTTTAAATGTTTCCATTAACTCAAAGTTGTTCTCATTAATCAAGCAAATTTTTAGTTCAGTGAGTTTAGGATTAAAAATTTGAAGAAAACCATTTAACGAATAAAACATGTATAGCAAAAGTGTATGTAAGTCAAATGCACTTGCAGTTTTGCCAACTTTGCTCTTTGAGGAAGAAGTGGATTAGACAGTTCATAACTGCTGCTGCAAAATAGAGCAAATGTGATAAAACAGGTTTAAAATAAAAAATAATCAGTAGAACTGAGTGTGGATCTTAATATTAAAATATATAAGCGGTTAACTACTGCAACGCCCTCAATTATGAAAATAGAAACACTCTAAATTGACTCTAAATGAAAAAACTGGAAACTAGACTTCAACTGCTATGAGATTCGCTTAAAAATTGAGGGTAAGAAAAATCGAAAAAGGAAAAGCTATTTTGCATCGAGATGCGCCTGGGTATAATATCAGTAGAAAAAGAGTGCTTTTTCATTTCTTAAGGAAAATCCTAAAAATAATGCTATTAAAAACTGTTAGCAGCAAAAGTGGAAATGATGTCACTGAATATACATATTTTACAAAAGATTAAACTTACCAGCAGTTTAAAACAACGTCATTATACGTTACTATCTTTTGGCTCACCAAATTCGCATCGGCTAATAAAATATTGCAGCAAGCCAAAGCCATCAATTTCGAAAGCCTCTGAAACAAAACAAGCACAAGATAAGCAGTGCATTTATGCATTCTACTCATGTATTCCTGTGAAATGTGAACTGCTAGACATGTTCAAATCGGTTTTTAGACAGTTATAATATCAGTGTCCTAAAACTTTGAAGTAAACTAAACTTAATATCATAAAAAAGTGTAACATCTTTTAAGTTCATTAACACACAGCTGCTACTCGACCAATGTAACTGTATAATACTATTTACAATAAATTGAAACAAACGTGAATTATTCGCAAGTAAACGGATTTCACACATTTCCAAGCAGCATTATACAGTCATGCTGATAAGTGGAATTTTTGTTGTTAGTTGGAAAAGTATCTGATAATCTACATGAAATTCATAATAAATGTAGTGAACTTTGACAAATTTACCTCTCACGGATACAACATGTGCCCTCGTCTCATCTTTTTTTGTATAGACTACCTTAACTGCACCACCTTGACACTGAACGATACCAATAAATTCCACTTTTGGTTCGTAATCTAAAACATTAACATATTATTACTATTGCGCAGATCGCTAGTAATATTCTTCCTAATTAATCGTAAAAACTAAACTAATTTCTAACAGAATGCAATGTAAATATATTGCAATATGAAAATGACTCCAAAACTGAAGAAAAATGAAATGACAAATCACTAGATGAATTAACTGAAATGAGTAAAATGACTGGTGATTCTAATTTTTCAGTTGCTTGCGACAGAAATTAAAAATAAAAAAAAACTACAGTTTTAACAGGAACTGGCATTCTATTTAATAAAATTGTGTCTAGAATTAAGCAAAAAAATAAACTTATTGAACATTGATCTTTTTCACATACCTTCTTCCAATACATCATCCTGAAAACAACACTGAATATATTAAATATTACAGAACATAGTTAAGATGGTCACGTTTTTATCAAAGCTCTTATAGGTAATAAGCTATCATCATATAAATATCTTAAAGAATAGACCCATCAGAGAAATATAAATGATAATTAACATAATACGATTTAGTACTAATAAGAACAAAAGACACAATGGAAAATTAAACAAAGTCCTCTAGACAATAGATCTTTTCACATCATGGTTACCTTTGTAGGAGTCTCTCCCTTCCCTTTTTGTTTCTTGTGGTTCATCAAAATCATGACTTTTTCATTCAAATGACTTTCACACTGCTTTTCAGCCGCTGCCATTGACACGTTCTTTTTTTCCATAGCACCCTTTTCTTTCAAATGATTATTCTCTTTTTTCTTACCTAGTAAAACATCTAAAAAGGGTAATTTTGGATTTAAAAAGATCAGTGAAGAAAAATAAAAAGCTTTCCAATTGAAAAAAAAAAAAATGTTATTTTTTAATATCTGAATTTCCTTAATTGAAATCATAAACATAACAGATAAAATATGAGAAAGCCAAGAACCACTTATTAATGAATTACACACTCGCAAATAAACAGACCGCTTTTTCTTACTCTTCCACTGCCCTCTGAAACGTCGGAATCTGCGTCTTCGACATCATCATAAAGCCAAGCATTTTTGGCCTTTTTTGGAGATAAATTCTAAAATTTGAGGATCATTGGTATTTTCCAGTTTTTAACTTTTCATAATTAAAAATAAATTGGAGCGAAAAAATTCTTCTAGCACATATGAAATCTTGCGATGTTGTATTTCAGCTTCAGCTTTAGTTGCAAACAGACTTAAACAAAACAGGAATTTATTGAGATATTATCCCACTTGATAAAGTGACAATTTAAATATATATGTTCGGAAAATACAGACCTTGGTTAGTGGTTTCTCTTGTTTATCCTTTGACAGGGATACAATTTTAGTTCTTTCCAATTTAGTATGTCCTGTTCGATATCTACTGAAATTATGCATGAAATGAGAAGTTTCTTGTAATCAGTTGTAGAAATTTATGGATAAAATTACAGCCAGAATGCAAATTTATCTGAGGTAACGAATAAAATTTTGCTTATTTTTTTTTCTTTCGTTCCCTAAAAAAGAAAAAAGAAATTCTGCTCTTTAAAAAACAAAATTTTTTGCCTCGCAAAAGTGGATCGATTATTAAAATTACCTTTCTCGCTTCTTAAAAACTTCTTCATAATCCTCATCACTGTCACTGTTATTCCTGTTCCTAATATTATCACCATACTCCATTTTCACCTTTCTCCTACTCCGAACACTCAGTGTCTTACTGGTTTCTGAGTATTCCGAGCTAGAACTTTGTCTTAATTTCTTATTTCCCTGTAATAAATACCACTTGAAACTAGTAGCACATCACATACTTCAACAAGTTATTCTATCTTAATGAACAATTGATTAGGTAGGAAGAATGCAAGTGGATGCAGAATCTTAATATCCAAGTTTTCTTAAATTTAACAAGGAATTCAAAAGCGATAGCGGTGATAAAATATACTTCTCTGTTTTACTATCAAACAGTTTACTTTATTTTGTAGTTTCATTTGTCTTCCACATCGCTTTCTTAGCTTTTTCTGAGTCGAGACTGAATTTTGAGCCTTCTTCACCTCCTCTTGATGAGTCGCAATGTATTCATCAAGGATTATTCGTGCTGTTTCCAAGTTCCACTCAGGTTCCCAAGAGTCCTCATCTGATCCATAACCCTTCCATCGTATCTTAAAAAAAAGCTAGTTGAAAAAAAGACAATGAAGATGAAACCGATGCTATCGTCGAAATCATATTATTTATTGTGAATTGAAATTTCAAAACCGATTTAACCGAATTCAAGAAAAGCAAAGTTTAACCGATACCTGGTATTTCACTTCTCCATCTATTGCAGCAACATTCAGGATGCGATCCACTTCAAATTCATCATCATCCAGTTCATCCTCATCGCTGTCTTTCGCCATGTCTTCATTTTTTCTTCTGTTCCTATCCGTTTCATTTATTCCTACATCTCCCTCAGCGGCAATATCCTTAAATATTAATCTATATGTATACTCCAGCTAATGTGGCACATACATTTAAAGTAGGATTCTTAACAAATCTAAAAAACAAAGAAAAATGTACCTTTGTGGAATCGATATTCATGATTAATTCGCTGATCCGATCCAAAACAAATTGAGTTGATTTATCTTGGAAAGTTGCAAAAATATATGGAAAAGCACTGAAGAGGAAGGAGTAAACTGTTTATAATTAGGATATAATCTTTAAAGTATAAATTCTTTGGTATAATATTAGGCGTTACGTACTGAAAAGACATCAAGTGATAGCAGACGATGAATGTGTCATGAATATGATGAAAATACTAATGATTTATTAGTGACTGTGGCCAAATGGTATATGGAAATATTAAGAAAGGAAGATGTTGGAAAGTTTCTTAGCAAAAGTGCGCTACTGAGCAAGGTTTCTTTTGCAAACGATGAATGATTTGCTCAGGTTTGAGGAAACAACTCGAATATTCGAAACAACAATTAGAGCTCGAAAACGGCGTTAATTACAACAGCGCTATTAAGTAAAAGACGAATTGTCTCCAGATCTCCCACACTGTATTTGTTAAAGAAATGGCGCAATTTGAGCGCTTTTGCCGTAAGTATAATAAAGTGACTGTCAGTGTTGGATGTAATAAATAGGACAATCCTATTATCCATAGAACCCTTATATCCAAACGTGAAACACTCACCTACCCAAAACGAAATGATGATGCGTCACCCTCCCCACTGCAGAAAATCGTGAACAAAAAGAAAAGAGTGTAGTAACGTGAGAGAGGCAAGAGGAGACGGCGATAGTGGGATTGGCGGTTGCAGCAGTTTGTGTTGACCTTTTCCGTGTTATTAGTATGATCTGTCTGTCATATGAAACATTAGTGAGTTAGTTGTACAAGAAGCAAGGAATTAGGATAAACTTAAGTTATTCCATTGGTTGACATTTATAAATTTCCAGAATGGCGGCGAGAGATTCAAGAACTAATTCTATAATGTGACACTTGTAGAATTAGTGGTATGAGAACAATAATATCTGATTGATAGAAGTGTCCTTTTCAAGTTTCTATGAATAAAAAGGAATGTGAAAGCAAGTAAACATAAACAACATACAACGACCTGCTTGCAAAACTTTCATATCACTGGTAATCGTAAAATACTAATCTATGAGAGTTTCATTGAAGGAAATAAAATTAATAGTTAGTTAGTCATTTCATTTCCACTTTTATCTATAAGGAAGTGAATTTTATTATCAAGTGCAAGTAGTCATTCATATTGTTCCACTATAACAGAGATAATTTTAGTATTTAAATAATAATTACATCAGATGAGACTCATATTACCTGCCATTTCTGCATATTTGAATTCATCCAATTATTAATGGACCGAACAAAATTCAATTAAAAAAATTGGCTTAACTTTTTGAAACAATGATAAGCAACGGATTTTGGCGCAAAATATGTGGAAGTACTATATTGTATCGTCGAGATTTAATGGAACCTTTCTTGAAGAATCACAAGCGAAAGGAATTGGTACGCTACTTTTTGTTTTTATTTTTATAACTTGTAAAGGCCAAAAGAATGTAATGACAAACAATTCGATAAAGGAATCAACTAGTCATTCTACATCTTCGTTTCACAACCACACTTTATGACATTCATCGCTGACACAGAATATTAAATCAAAATGAAATTATACAAATTGACACTTCGTTCGTTTTATAGGAAAAGAAGAATGAGTCATTGACAATATTAAAAATATAACTGAATAATAAGTAAGCACGTTGTTTTCAGTTTTATTTGTTGACCATTGTAAAGCGGTCTATTCATCATTGATGTATTAAGAAAGAACCAACATGCCAAGATCATCATTACGACAGAAATCATGCAAAGGAAATAAAAACGCCAACAATTTTCCTACTAAAATAACGGTGTGCTTACTTCACAACTCATTTGAACTTTCTTCATTTGACTACTTATTAACTTTATCTTTATTATCCACTATTAACCTTACTGCTCTATCTAAAGTAAACATGATGGCTTAATTTGGATTAACAAATTGAATAAGTATTTAGGTGATATAATCGATTTCAGGTTACAGTGATTTTAAAGAAGCCTTTTGGCTTAAGAATCAACAAAGGTGATCTAAGGGTAGGTTCCTCAATCATTAAAAAAAATCGCTTGTGAAACACTGAATGTTAATTGGTTATATATCATTCTGTTCTTCAATCTCGGCAGTGGATTAAAGCGGGAAATACTGAAATTTTGGTGTGCTCGTGGTACTGAAAGCATTTGCTGTCTAAAAGTTGTACAACTGAACTTAGTGCCTAAGAATTTGAAGTATGCAATAAACGAGCGGGTGACTAAGTGAAAATGAAAAGAAAAGTAACTCTCAAAATTGGACAATGCTTTATTCATGAATTATCGGGCGTATATCACTACATTTTGAGGTCTTTTCATTAAGCTTTATAGCTGGCTCTCCTTTGAGTACATTTGAGAGTAAGATAATCATCGTCGTTCTGAAGATAAATGCTTACTACTTTTATCTTCCGGGAATTCATTTGTCCAAACACATATTTCGTCCAAACATCGTCCAAACATCATTTGTCCAAACACATCTTTTGCAATTACGTCATGTTGAAATGCAGGTAACACTGGTGGAGCCACGTGGCTCATCAGTTGGACAAGTGAGCGTGGGTGATAAAATCATTGCGATAAATCACGAAAAATTACAAACAGTTAAGGATCTGAATAAACAACTTTCCAAACCAGGGAAAGTATGTACACTATTAGAATTCATAAAATGATATTATAGATTTCATTTACTTATTAAATGTATATTTTTACTGCAAATGGAGCTAATTATTTCGTTTTTTTTGATATTTAAATTTTTTTTTCTGATATTAATTTAAATGACTTTATTGTTCAGTGTAGCCTACCTATCTTTGGTTTATTGATACTTCTTTCGGAAAAGAGAAAGGTATCGTGATGACTCTTATTCTCTTAAATTAGAATGCTTACTATCTTATTAGAATGCAAGAGTTACGCTGGAACGGTGCGGTTTTTCATGTTGCAAACATGTGATAACTACCGTCGAAACGTTAACTGTTGATAAGGGAAGCTCATTAAAAGTATTGCGAGCTGTTGAAGTATATATGGTAGGCTATTCATAATATTTATAAGGTTTCTAGTTCACATAAAAATTTAATAAAAACTGCTGATATCCTGATATTTCTTGTTTCCGGTGAAAAATCTCAGGAAAAAATCACGACATCCTGGAGCGTGCTTTGTTCATTTGAACAGCATTTGACAGTAAAAAGTTCCAGGTGCAAATTCGAATAGAATCATTTCCGGATATGGATCTAACTCAGGAACTTGGCCTATCTGTGAAATACAATAATAAAGAGCAACTGCAAGTGGCAAGCGTCATACCCGGAAGCTTAGCATCTGTACATCTTCGACCTGGCGATATTATTAAGTAATTTTCCATCTACTTAAAGTTAAGACTACAACCTCGTAAAAAAGGTGAAAATTAAATTATGTAAATTATATAAGCGAAAAAAACTTTGTCATTTGCTTACTGCTAATTAATAATGAAATAAAACAAAGCGACAAATCAGTTACGTAAGTGAGATTTAGCAAGATAATTTCTCATAAGATAACATCTCATAACTATTCCACTTAGGTATTACTTTATAAAAGATCCATTTTTGGAGATTATATAAGTCCATACTGATTTGTTTTACCAAATGAAACCAACGCAAATTAAAATCGATAGTAATAAATAATGCCTTGACGATTAATTATTGTTAAACTGAGTGGAAGTGAACATAATTAAACAAGAAGATTGATTAAGAGAATAAGAATTAAGAGAATCAAGAATTAATTTGACAAAAATTGTAGAGAAGTGAATGGCGAATACATTACAAGTAAAACGATGTTAGCCTTTTGGATAAGGCATGGTTTTGATACCAAGAGACAGGTATAATTGCAGAGTTAAACAACAGCTTCGGGAAGATTTTGTAAAAATCCATTTTGTTTGAATGAAATCAAAGCAACTGTCCTTTCTATAAATAAAAGAGAGTTTCACCGGCGTCGTTTTGCAGAAGGTTCTGAAATTTTGACAAAAACCAGATCAAATTTTTAAAAGCGCAAACAGTCACCTAGTTGTTTTCTTGAAATTAGTCAGAAACATCTTTAAATACCTTTTCGTTAAGTGAAGACTCCTATTTATATTCGCATTTTTGTAGCAAAAAAAAGGAAATTTTTTAGATACAGATATTGGTTCAAGCAGGAGTTGAAGATGATACGCATATTGAAATGCCTGAGGATGTGCAACAAATAGCGCAAAAGCAGGTTTGTAAGCTTTGCGAGATTAAAAAAATAATATTAGAGTTTTGCTAGTAATGAAAGTGTTAGATATTATGAACCACCATTAAGGCACTTAGTTACGAATAAGGACAAACCAGCGACAGCCTCGAATGGAGAAATTGTCTTTACTGCCAAGATTAACAATAAACCAACATTTTTCTATCAAATTTGCTTCTTCATTCTTTCAACATTCACTTAGCACTGTATTTGCAGCTAACGATTCTCAGAAGTAAAAAATTACCAAAATCTATGATCAGCTTAATGAAACAAACCAATTCTTCAACCGGAAAACATATTAGAATCTCCATGGAAGAACCGAAGGAAATGGGAATATGCAGTGATTACGATGAAACAACGCTCAGACATGTTCACAAAAACAAATGAAAATTGATGTGTAGAAAAACTATCCATACATTCCATACAATAAATCAAGGTACACCTAAAGAAGCAACCGCTCCCTTGTAATGGAACTCCATTCGTCCAATTCAGTAGTCACATTTCCCTAACAAGAGATAATTAATGGTACATTTTTGCTGGCAAAATCTTTTTTGAATTTGCAGAACTTTTTGTAGCGAAAGATAACGATTTTCTGATTAAATCCGATTAGCACATTATGAAAAAAAAAAAAAAAAAAAAAAAAGAAATGAAAAAACCACGGATATTTTATTCAAAAAACAAACATTAGAATAGTTAACAATTTTTAAATAGGATTATGAATCCATTTTGATAACGGACCATGCTCTCGTACGAGTTTGCATGTTGCACCATCTGGTACCAAACGTCCTTCTCCACGCATTGTCTCATATTCCTCTTTGTCCCACTTTGTGAAGCCCCACTTCCTTGATACCACAACAAGCTGACGCCCAGGAAACTTGAATTTCGCTCTTCGAAAAGCTTCTACCGCATGCTCTTCGTGCTGAACATTAGCAACTATCAATTCCTCAGGATTTTTACACTATGGGAAAGCCACGGAACTAATTTGCACACAGGACAAAGACTTCGCCAAATCACAGAAAACATTTCTGAGCAAAGTTAGTATTTAAAAATAAGCCGCTGAATTTCACTGCTGAACTAGAACATCATAGAACCGTTCCTCATTTACATTAAATAACTCTTAACACGCTGTTCGGACGTCTATTATAAAGTCGAGCAATGTATTATTTTAAATAACTTCTTAGCAAACAAAACAAACCTGTTCCTTTACTCGTACCGATATTAATATGTCACCAATATCAACTCGTGCTACTAAGCCCTGAGGTTTACCAAAAGCTCCTCGCATTCCAGTTTGCAAGCGGTCAGCACCTGCACATGATAACATTTTATTGATGCGTACAACATGGTATGGATGTTTACGCACACGCATATGAAAACCATCCTTGCCACAGTTCTTTACCATATATTTATTGGCACAAATACGAGCTGCCTGAAAATGCAAGACTTACAAATTTGAATCAAGCTCTTTGAAATATCACGTCAGACTTTTTCTACGGTCTTATCAACAAACTTGCAACCAATTTGTGCTTTATCATGCAAATGACAAAAGAGCAAGAAAATATGACTGGCAAGACTAAAATAAGGGAAAAGCGTTTCTTGGGATTACGGGAATCCGATTTTGACAGTTTCTCAATCTTCCATCAGATGTCCAAATCTCAAGCTACATGATGTACCTCAAGCGCTTCCGATGAAAGATGTTCTCGTTCATTGGACATTAAATGCACACATAATGGGAATTCATCCACTGTAGCTTTCTTTTTGCCCAAATCAAAGATACGAATTTTCGGATCTGGAACACCACGACAGAATCGAGACTTGGGATATGGCTTATTCTTGATATAACGGTAGCATCTTGCTGGTCGTCGTCCCATTCCCTAAAAACTTCAAATTTAACTGACAACTCGATGAGATGGAGGTGTGTGCACACATAGTACCTAGCAACTTTCCACCTTTCCTCAATGAACAGTTGAAAACCGGTTGAAAACAGTGGTACCACCACGTCCGTAAACACCTGAAGACACATCTGGTTGAACACTTCCCTTCTCCCAACACCAATGTGACCCCCCTAAAACTACCGACGAGTCCCGAATGATACGACACTTTTGAATCTCAATCCGCCAAGTAGGACCAGAACAGTCTGTTGCAGCTTTCCTTTTCTGTCTCGAGAGTAGTAAGTGGGGAAGTGCACTTTATTATCTCCGGGAAGGACAACCTTTATTGATAATGGGGTGAAGGGTTAGACAGGAATTGTTGACATGGACTGTAGATATTGGGTTATGGATGACTGAGTGTTAAGCAAGCTCATGTTGTAGGTCAACCAGCTAATTTCATTACAAGGAACCATGATTGGTGATAGAGATCTCAATTGTAATGCTAGTGGGAAAGATAGGAATAATTTAAGTTGTTAGACTTATCTCTCTGCGATGTTCATTAGTCATTTGTTCTTTATGTTCATTCTTTTCTTTTAGAAGAAAGATTCAGATAATGTTCTGGTAACCTAAATGATGACAGCTGATAAAAGGCATTAATGAAGATTGGCTTATGTTCTAAACAGATGGCAATTGTTATTGATGAAACGTAATATGAAACTATAAAAATGTTTTAAAATAAGACTAGAGGTGTTGAGACATTCAAAGAGTTTGAATTCCAATTTTACTGATAGTAAAGAAAGGTTAATTTTCGTCTGTTCAGTTCCGCAGATCTAGAGGTTTGAATTGAAAGTTGGAATTGAGCATAAAAATTTGAAACATCTACAAATTCTCACTTTTGAAGTGAAGCGCTTAATTAGTTTACAATTTTTTGCAGACAGAGTTATAAAATTCATAAGCATATTTCGCTCCACACGGACATCATTAGCTTTCATTCCGTTTGGTATTTAAGAACAGTGATGGATAGCTATATATATATATATATATATATAACAAATGCAGAGCACAGCTAAGATGGACTAAAAGTTTAAAAGCAAAACTTTGAAAGAATCCTTAGTAACGAGAAACTAACGACTCTTGCAAGATGATTAAATAGTCAAATGAAGAAGTTTGGGTGGAACATCTATCATTAGGACCATATATCAATCCCAATATTGCACGTTCTTTTGCTAGTTTTGTTTAAATTATGATGGACAGAAGTTCTAATATTATATGAGAGTGAGAAAGTTCCGAATTTACTGGTTTATTGACACTAGCCAATATATCATGGCTTCATATAATGACTTGACGTATTCAGTTGTAAGTATAAAACACTTAAGGATAGGGAGAAGGAAGTATGTTTGAAAGAACACTATATTGTTGAAGCACTGCAGTAGTAAAAGTCCTTTCATGTGATAAAAGTATTCATGTCATTTTTGCTTCCTATAACACTGAGAAATCATTCATCATGTTTTGTTTTAGTCAGTGACAATACATGATTCTGAAGAATTAAATTTGTCGAACTCATTTCCTTTTAAAAAAACGTGTCTTTTGTGTATGGTGTGCCATATGGCTGACCAAATATTCAGATGTTAATTATGAAACTGGAATCTTGTTTATCCCCTTTATATTAACATATTCAAAGAAATTATATCTTTCTCATGTTATGCTTATGAATTGAAATTCTCAATCCTAACTTTATCCAAAAGTTCTTCTCACAGGTCGGCTGAAGCTATTTTCGATTATGAATTCGCTGTTTGTTATCCCACAACATTTCACAAAATAAAGGATGAAAGAATAACTAACCAAGCATCACAAGACCTATGATGGCAGTAACTAATTGATACTATCAGTAACGACTGTTATGAGCATAAAAAAGATAACTGAATTAACTTTAAAAACAAACAAAATGCCACAAAAATATTCTACAATAATAATAAACAACCAGACAAAGATTACGATATGAATTTTTACAAGGGCCACGCTGATGTCTAGCTTCTTCTAGCAACATGTTAGACAATGTATTAAAGCATGTCTAATAAATGTGCTGTCTAGTAAAATCTTCGCGAATATAGAAGTGAGAAGAAACATAAAAAATAGTGCAGTGCGATCGATTTTAATTCTTTCCTAGGAAATATTCTTTGACCACGCGATATATATTAGATAATGTGAGTTTGAGTATTAAACCAAGAGAACAGCTACTGCGAGAAAGGAAATAAACACGAAAAGTGACAAGCTAAAGCATAGATCTGCAGTTGCATTTTGAAGTTCTATAAAAGGACCTGCTCAAACAATATAGACGGAGCAACTTACAATCATAGAAAATAATTCTTGGAATAGTGAAGAATGTGACTGATGTAAAAGCGATTCTCCATCACATCTGTGTTGATATCATCAACCAAGTAAAAAACTTTAATATGACCTCCTTAGCATAAAAATTTCTCCCATAAGTACAGTTTCGCTTGAAAAGATACATATCGAATTCATGTCCAGTTGCATCGTTCCAAAAAATATTTCAAAGATGTAAAATTTGCATTTCAATAAATAAATACCCTACCGTTCAAATGGAAAATTTTATCTCAAATGATTAGCGCTATTTCTATTCAATCACAGAAATAATGAGACTTGCTCAAAAAGCAATTTTGAATTAAAAACATGAAGTAGCGATCATAAATGAATTCTTTAATTTCAAGGTCAGCGCGGAAATTTACATTACACATTCCGCAAAGGATTCTAATAATTGGAAAGAGTAAAGACATGAAAGATCCAATTTTCCAAATTTCATATAAAAATTATTATAAATATTCTTTTCCAATAAATAAAATATTTGTGCCGCTGCGACGAATATATATAATGATCGCTATCAATCTTAAGCTACATTTCTGTAATTCTCAAAAGCCAAACCTTGCAAGGTTTGGCTTTTGAGAATTAACATCGTTTATGCCATCGATCTCTTCACTAATAAATTGGACGAAATTAGCCCTCTCTAGTTTTAGTAGCACAGTATCCTACCTAACTTTTATTGATAGTACTCTCTATTGCAATCAGGACTTGAAATGTAACAATTTTGTCCTAGTTATGTACTGTAATAAAATATTTTCATTACTTCCAAGATTTCAGAAATAAAATAGGACTCATCCAGATATCAAAGATGACAAATCCTCTCAACTTGCGAGTAAAACGATTCATGATATAAAATAACAAAAACATTAACACTATGTTGCTCTAGGTGTAGCAGAAGTAGCGTTATTAGCAAAAGTAGTGATCGTAGCAAGAACAGGAGCAGAATAAGGAGAGGGAGGCGATTCGGCGACATTCTCTTCATTGATTGTTGTGGTTAAAGACGAATCAGCTATAATGTCGCGCATTATTTGTAAATGTTGTTGAACGTTACGCAGTGCAGATGAGAAAGCTGGTACTACTTGGTCTTCGCTTTCGTTGTTCATCTTCAAAAAGCAAATGAAATTATTACCACTATCATTA